GTTCTCCTCTATATCAGTGTCAGTGTTCCTGAACGAACACGTCACAATATTCCTCATTATAATAATTCATGCGCAGAATAAAGGGGCGGGGCCTGGTTGAGTTAGTTAGTAGTGTGTTAAACTGGTGGTTATGGAAAGGGGCGGGGCATTTCCCAAACACACTCAAAGTGCTCAACCAATCACAATGGGAACCAAACAGTTCAGGGTCCAAAAGACAGTTTCAGTGCAAACTGTTCAAAGGGCTTTAAACGACTCCAGACGATGAATAAGGGTCTTATCAAGCGAAACGAGCACTCATTTAATCAATAAATAACAAAGTTTAAGCTGTTTCGTTCGTTGAATGAACCAAATGACACCAAAAAAGATTTGTTCATTAAAACGAACGAGTTTGAACAGGAGAGTCACGAACGCGCATCACAGAACAGAGCAAGGCGAGCGTTTGAGCTTATAAAACTTAAACTTTGTTATTTATTGATTAAATGAGGTCTCGTTTCGCTTGATAAGACCCTTATTCATCGTCTGGAATCGTTTAAAGCTGCACTGAAACTGTCTTTTGGACCTTGAACCGTTTGGTTCCCATTGAATTCCATTATATGGAGAAAATCCTGGAATGTTTTCATCTTAATTTCTTTTCGACTGAGGAAAGAAAGACATCTTGGATGACGTGGGGGCGAGTAAATTATCAGCAAAAGTTTTTTTTTTTAAAGTGAACTACTGCTTTAACATGGTTTATTTTTAGTTATTTTTTTTATTTTTGGGGCTAGTAGAAGTTCTGAATGGCTGGTAACATAAACATTTATCAGCCAAATTGGCCGGTGAGTTAAGTTAATTTCAAACCCTGGCAGCATGATATTGCAGTGTGTGTGTAAGGCTGTTCACACACACCGTGGCAGTGGTCCGGTGTGCAGGGCCGGCTCTGGCGCTCCAGATCTCTGCAGTTCTGCCCTCTACTGGCCGATACGAGCGGCGCACGAAACCTCTGCTGATACTGAGACACACACGAACACTCGCTCCACACACTCCATTCTGACATCGGACAGGCTGACAGAGAGAACGGGGAGCACAGTTAAAGTCAGTCAAATCAATTCACAATTTGTATTTTTATTACAGAATGTTGCAAGGTGTATTATAAATGATTTAAGTGAACGTCATTAGTTAACATCCCTCTTACAAATAGTGAAGAACAGACTCGAGTAACGTCAGTTTTTAAGCCGAGTTTAAAGTCTGTGGTGAGAATCCAGTGTTTAATGTTGTTTATGTGTGTGTGTGGTGTGTTTAATGCGCTGTAACACACACACCATGTGTGCGTTGATAAGTGGACAGCATTGAGTATTTCCTCCTTAAAACTGCAGTGAACCAAAGACAGTCTCAAAAACACGCTTTGGTGTTTCTGACGTCACAAACCACCTTGGAACCAATCAGATCAACGTGTGATCGTCAACCAGTGGAGCTCATTTGCATATTCATAGAACCACGCATACTAAATAAGGCAAGCGTGTCGATTTACATTCAAGATGTTTTAAGCAAAAAACATTTAAATATATAATTTTGGTGATGAAAAATTAGTTTTTAGGGATGAAGTGATCTGCTACAGGGAGACTTTACGTAAATAATAGATATCACCTGTATACCAGATATTTAATCACACAATTATGTTTTAAATATAAAAATGAGGCATTATCAAATTAAATATGCATGTATTTGCCAAGTTCAAAATTTTTGTTTCATTTTGGATGTCTTTTGATCTTTCTTTTCTTTCTTTAATATGTTTAAATTAATTTTAAATGTGTTTTATTCCCGTTCAATCTTTATTTTGGATGCTTTCTATTTACTATTCTCATGTAATCGAAGCAAAAGAGCCAGAGCAAAATGCATGAAAAGCCCTGCTCTCATTGGCTGACACCAAGGTTTAACCTGGACAGGGTCTGTTATAACACAGCTGAGTCTCCTCGCCGCCCCTCTCCAGCTCCGGAGGACACGCGTGATCCCCGTCGTCCTCACACACACACTCCCGGCGCCTGGAGATCACGCCTGACCCGCAGCTGCGCGAACAGGCCGACCACGGGGACCAGGGGCAAAGGTCGTCTGTGGGAACCAGAGGTCAAAGGTCACAACACAAGACGGGGCAATGTGTCACAAAATACACGGTTCGGATCATTTACGCTCATTGAGCCACGGATTGGACTTTTTTGCGCCTCAGCAAAAAAATAAATATATATATATACACAATTAGGGGTGTAACTTTGCTTTTCATTTATTACTTAAAGCTCACTTGAAGGTCTTCAATACCACTGCAAAAACTACTGGCCTAACTGGTAAGTTCTAACATTATTAAAATAAGTGAACAGTCAATAATCAAATAAAAACAAATACAGAGATGTGTTCTGTTACTACAACACTGCTAGTCCTGATTTTTGCCTCTTCTTCCACATTTATAATAGTTCGAATGTGTAAACTGGCAAGACAAAACAGGTCCAAATCATAAACTTTCACTCTATGATTGCTAGATATAGCAGTTAATCGACCCTAAAACACAAGCATTACTGAACTGCACTCAGAACAGATCATGTGTCCGCTGAGTGTTTCTCTACATAAGGAAAAGTGTTGTCCAGTACCAAGACACAGTGCAGCGTGACAGTCCTGGGTGTCTCTCTCAGGTCCAGTGCAGTGTGTGCCGTTGTGTCGCGGCGGAGGGTTGATACAGGCGCGGGTGCGGATCTGTGTACTCTTCCCACACGTAACGGGACAGTCCGACCACACGGACCACGGCGTCCATCCACCGTCCACTAATGCATCACACAGCAGATATAATCAACAACTCGGCAATCTGAACTGGAGGATCATGGGACATACAGAAATAGAGTTTCATCTCTATCTTACAAGAATCCCACCGGGGCAAGTCGTCACAGGAGAGTCTAATCACACCGGGGCAAGTCGTCACAGGACAGTCTAATCACACCGGGGCAAGTCGTCACAGGACAGTCTAATCACACCGGGGCAAGTCGTCACAGGAGAGTCTAATCACACCGGGGCAAGTCGTCACAGGACAGTCTAATCACACCGGGGCAAGTCGTCACAGGAGAGACTAATCACACCGGGGCAAGTCGTCACAGGAGAGTCTAATCACACCGGGGCAAGTCGTCACAGGAGAGTCTAATCACACCGGGGCAAGTCGTCACAGGAGAGTCTAATCGCACAGGGGCAAGTCGTCACAGGAGAGTCTAATCGCACCGGGGCAAGTCGTCACAGGAGAGTCTAATCGCACAGGGGCAAGTCGTCACAGGAGAGGCTAATCACACCGGGGCAAGTCGTCACAGGAGAGGCTAATCACACCGGGGCAAGTCGTCACAGGAGAGTCTAATCGCACCGGGGCAAGTCGTCACAGTTTATAATACATTTATGTTATTGTTAACTAAAACTATTATAAATCATTTCCAGTAAGAAAAATAAAGCTGAAATAAAATAAAACAAAATCTAAACTTAAAAAAAATGTAAGTACTAAAAAACTGAAATAAAAATAAATAAAAGACAAAGAAAACTAATTAATATGACAAAAGTACATAAAATACTAAAAGTTAAATTAAAATTAATAAATTAATAAATTTCTTTAAATATATTATAAATTATTTATATGTATGTATATGTGTGTGTACACAAATAAATGAGAAAGATTATACATTTAATATAATGTACTTGAGTAACATGTTTGTACCACACACACACCTCGACAGTCGATATCTTGGCAGTATTCTCCTTCAGGGATGCAGGTGCTGAAAAAAACACACACAGTTTTTGCAGACGTTTGCACAATGTCCATTTATTCCCATGAATTTAAAAAACAAAACTGCAGCGTTGTCCCTGTTGCCAGTGTCTCTCACCATTGCTCACACTCGCCCAGTAACCAGGAGTCTCCGACCGCCAGCTGGCGCTGGTCCCGCACACACAGCGGAGGACACGGGCCCGGGTCACACACCTTGTGCTGGACCTCCTCGAACTGGCAGCTCACGCCGTCAGCCTCCGGGACCAGAGATCTGCAACACACACACAGCCGAGTCAGTGTGGAATTATAAATCCGTGTTTGAGACACTGGGCATCAGTGCCCGCCTCGCACCTGAAGCGTGTCCTCCGCCCCGGGCCGCAGGTGGCGCTGCAGGACGCCCAGGTGGACCAGGAGCTCCAGCTGCAGCTGCTGGCGTCTGCGCAGGCGTGATCAGTGCAGTGCAGCTCTCCGTCTGCGCAGGTGCAGTTATTACAGTCCAGCGGGTGTGTGCTGCCCGCCGCCCAGCTTTGACCCCACACGTCCACGCAGTCACACTGCCACCGCTGAACACACACACCGTCCTGCTCCAGCTGGCCTACACACACACACACACACACACACACACGCTACTGTATGCTGTCAGTGAGCATTATATTCATGATGTTTATATTTTCAACACATCTGTCAGGTCTTGTCATGTGGTTCCCTGGCCGTCATGTGACCCTGCCACGTGTTCTGTGTTGTGATTGGTTCATTGTGCACAGGTGTGTCTTGTTCAGTCATTAGTCTCATGTGTTTAACCCGTGTGCATCCTTATGGACCTTTTTGTCATTTTCAGGTTTTTGTTTTTTTGATCACTTTGCCTGTGTTAAAGCTAACTGCAAAAAACTTGGCACAGGTGTGTATTTTTATTGGAATTTTACTATTTCACCGTCATTTTCTTAAAAAAATATTTTTTGCATTAGGTACAAAAAAATACTCCCTCTCAGCACCTTTTGGACAAAAATGTCCCCATTGAAACCCATTAAAACTGCCATTTTTAACCCCCGGTTCAGTTAACTATAAAATTATGCAATCTTTGTTAAGAGGCTTTCATTCTGATGGCAAGGCTTCAAAATTTGTATTTTTTACAATTTTTTATCAGATGGTGACATTTTTTTTTAAGTTTGGCCTATAAAACAAATATCGCTTTATTCCTGTTTTCTGGTTCGACATACTACAGAGCCAACTGGATAAATTATCCAACAACATTAGTGTGGGTGTGTTGGTATGGATGTCAGAGTGTGGTTAGTGTGTGTGTTATAAAAAAATATGTGTGTGTGTGTTTGTAATACTGAGAGAGAAAAACTCAATCACTGTGAGCTCCAGTGGGGTTTTGCTGCCACCCAATGGGGAAAATATGTTACTACGCCCAAACAAACTGTTACCCAAAGCTCATTTTTTGACATATCATCCTCAAATTTGGAACACAACCTATTTAGATTCATGGCTTTGATTTTATTGTAGTTTTGAGTTCAATCTGATTTAAAAAATATATATTTTATATAAAATATTTTTTAATAAACTTATACCTATATAACTTTTTTTTGGATTAACTTATTATTTTTTTACTTGAGCAATAATCTGCCAAGGGTCTTCTTTAAAATGATACCAAACTTAAGTCTGTGCTCCAAAGCGTCACATTTTTATGACAGTTTTTTGACATGGACATTTTTGTCCTCTTTTTACCTATGTGTAACTTTTTTTAATTGATGCACACGGGTTAAGCCCTCATGTTTGCCGTGTGTCAAGTATTGTTTACTTTGTAACTAGTTTGTTGAGCTGGTGCTCGTGTGTTTACCTCGTGGGCAGCGGCAGCCCGGCTCACACTCGGCGTCGGTCCGGCACTCGATGCCCTGCTGTCGGTCGGAGCAGCGCTGAGGACACTCGTTCGCACACGACACAAACTCCTGCCCTGGAGGACAGCCGGCATCATCTGCACCGGGACACACACACACACACACACACACTCATAACTACTGTATCATATTTAATACGCAGGCCTCTAAATGATCAATATCTCTTCCACACACTCCTCCAGTCCGTCTGCGTCTGATGGAGAGTTTAGACTCATTATAGTAAAAGACTTTTATTTTATAAAATAACTGTACAAACGTCCTCCTCCAGCTCGTGATTCATGTTTTTTTTGCGGTGAGGAAACGTTGGTAATTTTTCAAGATGAAAACTTGCTGGTTTACATCACCATTATCACCATACATCTTTTTTGAGTATCATCAAGAAGCTTATTTTTTCATCTCTCAATCATCATTGAATTACGTTGCATTGATCATAAAACGAAGCATTTACATTTCATCAATCTTACTATAAGTAAGATCATAAGTGACACAATTAGACATAAGTGACGACTGATATTTATATGCATTATGTCAGTAGTTATAAAGATTTTTAGTTAGAGTTAGAGTTATTTCATATTAATATAGCATCTGCAGAAAACGGTATATTTTGCTCAGTTTGGGCCTGTGAATAATATTAAGGTGTTTTTTCTCACCATAAAAGCCTGATGAAATATGATAAAAAACATAAAGATCTTTTTTTTCTGCCTATTATTTCAGATGTCAGGCTATACAGGGTTAAAATGCTTAAAGGGATAGTTGACTTTGAAATTAATTTTTGATATGTTTTATCTTACCTCAAGGGCATCTGAGATATAGGTGTCTTTGTTTCCACAGTATTTTCAAGTCAAACCGTTGTTGTCTATCAGTCATACACTGGAGGCTAAGGGGGTCCACCAAAGAGCAGCACAGAGAAGTCCAAATTAAACATGATTTAATGACTCGTACATGTAAGTACACACTGATGGACTAAGACACGAAACGAGCGGTTTGTGTGAGAAAACCAACAGTATTTATATCGTTTTACCTCGTGTAATCATAGCCATGACAAAATGATCTGACGGCACGGGCGCTTCGGTCTGGAAGTGATCGCTTGCGCGCCGACGTCACTCTTTGTTTATACAGAGATTTGGGAAGTTTTACCTTTCACTAAACATATTTAGATATACGGGAAACCGCAATGGAAGACGATTTCGATATATCTAAATATGTTTAGTAAAAGGTAAAACTTCCGAAATCTCCGTGTAAATATTGAGTGACGTCACACGCAAGCGATCACTTCCGGCGTAACATTGAACTGATTCAGTTCGGTTCAGTTCAACTGATTCAGATCACTGAACACACGAGGTAAAACGATATAAACACTGTTGGTTTTCTCACACAAACCGCTCGTTTCGTGTCTTAGGCCATCAGTGTGTACTTACATGTACGAGTCATTAAATCATGTTTAATTTGGACTTCTCTGTGCTGCTCTTTGGTGGACCCCCTTAGCCTCCAGTGTATGACTGATAGACAACAACGGTTTGACTTGAAAATACTGTGGAATAAAGACACCTACAGCTTGGATGCCCTTGAGGGAAGATAAAACATATCAAAAATTAATTTCAAAGTGAACTATCCCTTTAACCAATAATACAGAAGACACAATCAAATCCTGACGGATAAAAATCAAACTGTGTCCCAGTGAGTGAGTGTTTAGTGCGGAGTGTGTAGAGTTGAATGGTGTTTTGTGTCGTACCGCAGGGTTTGGTGTTGCAGGGCTTGACCTGGTTCTTCTCTCCGCTGCACTTCTGGCCCCCGTTCTTCGGCGGAGGACTGGAGCACGAGCGGTCCTGATGGAGCGTCCTC